TAGTCTGTCTCAGCCAATTCTATCACACCAGTGGGCTCTAGCTAGCAAACTGTCTGTGGAACTGGAGTTAGTGATTTTGGCTGAAAAGTATGAACTGAACCTGGTTTAGATACGTGAGTGGCAATAGCAGAGTAGGGCTTGCATCCAGCTGCTTGAGACAGAGCACCAGAAATCCCAGGAAAGACAGGCAGAAATGCCCTGTGTGAAAGTTAAAGTTCTCCGTGCTCATAAAACTCAGTGCAGGCTTCGGGGCATTCCATGGCTTTGAGTTGAGTCACCCAAGTCTCATGGTCTGGATGAGGTTAATGATGATGATAACTCAGGCATGTCTAGTACTTTTTGCCTTTTTTAAGAGCTATTATTAAACAATTTTGTCTTTCAGCTGTAGCAAATCATGTGAATGTCAGGGAAAGATCATGGTCTGTCAGCTCCCAAAGCCTGCCAGCTATAAGAAGGGGCAGAAGGGAAGGTTTGGGTGCTGTTTGTGATTCTACTGTGAGTCCACCCTGAATCAGCTCCTTTGAAACTTCAAAAGGATTGAAGGGATCAACAATATTTTGGCACAAAGCATGAGTTTTGCATTGCCTTGTCTCTTGAAACGGAGAAAAAATCCATCTTTGCATAACTGTGTTCAAGCCAACTAAGTAATATCAACATAAAATGAACAGATTAGACCTTCCTGCACTATGGGAAAAGGTGGAATATGTGTTTAAATTTGGATTTGGGAATCATGTTTCTTCCTTAACTCAAAATCAGTCTATAAGCCGCAGCATGGAAAAAAGAACTGAAGGTGTTAATTTAGTTTGGACCCTGTCTTTTATTTTTGATAACTTTTGTATTGATATGACTAGAAATATTTTCATTAATTCAGTTAAGGGTCCCCATTGTCTGGATGTTAAAATATGAGATCACAGAGTAAAATCTCTGGTTTCCCTGACAGCTCTGGGCAGTATGGTCTGCATTCGTATTTTGCCATTTTTAAAATGTGGTAATTGCTGTCTTCACAGAGGAGATGCTGGGTTTATGCAATTTGCTTGGACTGTGAAATGTCATGTGAGTTTTAGGTACTGCTGTAGTCCTTTTTGCATGCTCACTGCTTCACAAACAGCAATGTTACAAACATTTTTAATAGTAGGTGTAGAAGATATCAAAATAAAAACAAAGCATGCTGTCTCAACATTACTTCAGGGCAAAGTGCCAACTAATCAGATGGCCTCAAAGCCAGTTTTGAGAATTTGATTGCCACATTTTTGCCTGGGGTTTCCGAGACACCCACATGATCTCCCACACTGCATGAGAGAGGCTTCCTGCAAGCTTTGGCCCTTTTGTATGTGCGTGCAGTGCAGTTGGTCAGCACATGTGCAATAAGCCTGATACTTTGCAGAAGTGTCCTGGTGTACAGTATGTACACTGTAGAACCAGGCTGAGCATTTCCATGGAAAATATATATGCATGTAACTGTAGCCCACAAGTATTTCTATTAAGCCTATTTGTGTAAATAGGCCTATTTATTTTCAACAGTTGGAGTTTAAGCAATTGGCTGCCTAATAAGTGGGATTGTAACTACGACTGGATCTCTGGGTAGTAATAGAGCATATATTGTAGTGTTTTAAAACCAGGAATGGGCTGAGGTTTGGTAACAGCTGAATCAAATTCACTCTAAACAAAAGTGAACTTCACTTATCTCAGTGAATCTGGGGTGAGCTGTGAGGTTCGAATGCAACACAAAGCAAGTGGATGTGGTATCTGCTTTTATAGTAAAAATTCTTCAGAAATTAGCCTAAAGTTATTGGAAGAGATGTTGATGTTCCAAACAAATCTAGTTCCAAAATAACCGAGCTTGTTACTTTTAAGTAATCAAATAGATCTTTGTGATCTGATCCCCAAATTTAATATTAAGTCTTGGGCTTCACAGAGTATGTTTATTATTAGCAAATTTAGGCCTGCCTTGTTCTACAGGGAAGAGAGAATCAAGAAGGGAAAACTAAAGAGAAGCCTTTTTCCTCTCTAGGTCATTTATGTTTAATACAGCTACTGACTGGACAACTTCTAAAGTAATGTCAGGCTTTGAATACGGAACATTTGGAGCCAAAGTAGAAGTCACTCACATGGCATCTGTGAGAGCAGCTCCATCCCATAGCAGTAGTCATGGGCCACATCCTTCTGTGCAGAGTAGCTATTCATTGTGTTGTCCTAAGAAAACATCTATTGAGATCTGCAACCTGAACATCTGTTGATTACATTTGTGACTTGTAGGTACATGTGGCGATAGCTTTGGAGCATGTGGTGCTGTTCAGTGAGGGGTGTGGCCACAGAAGGTCTCTAGTCCACCAGCTATCCCCAGGACCAGCGTTGTGCACATCTGCATCTGGCATTTGTGGAAGCACTGTGACTATTTCACAATCATGTGTGGGAACTTGCTGAGACTATCATTCTATGTTACTCTACTAGCTTCTTCTCAGACTGTGAAACTAAGCCCTGTTGCAAAACATTAAGTCCTCCAGGAAAGAAAAATGCATTTGTTAGTGCCCTCTTCCACACAGGTTCCTCATTCTTGCCTTCAAAACCTCTCATCACATGGCTGTTATCAGAGAAATTTTAATAGAACTATTTTTCCCTGGAAAAAAACAGCTGTGTGAAAATAAAGCTGTTGAGAAAACATGTTAGTCTTGCATAAATTTTACAAAACTAAAAATTATGTCCTCTTGGTATTTTTTTATAACATATGATAATAAAAATACTAAGAACTGTAATCATCAAGACTGTTAAACAGCTATGCAATGTATATCAATTTTGTTTACATTAAATGTTTTTGTCAGCCTAAATAATTGGTGGGGCAGATGGGAGAAAAGATGTTTTTTACATTCTTTTTGTGGAAAGGCAATCCAAGTAACCTTAATGATTAATTCTGTTCCCATTGTAAAAGTATTTAAGATTGGATGCACAGCTTTTGAGCTCCTTTGGACAAGCAGTCATCAATACTATTGGACTCCTACCTATACTGTGAATAATGGTTGTCTTCTCATACACCATACAGTCTGGATCTGATCTGGTATTATATCTCCTTGATTCCTGTTACCTGTGGAAAGGAACATTCCTTGCAGTTTACACTGGGTAGATACACTGTAGATAGAATAACCTCAGTTTACTAATGAACAAAAGCAATTGAAGGAAGAGTGCATGCCTTAATTGCTGTAATTTGCTTTCACATCTCTGCTATAGAAGAAAATAGACAGTCAAGCAAAAATGACATTAGGAAAGTTTCTTGTTATTTACACAGAATGCGTCAATGCAAATGTGCATAAATTGCATTTGGGTCTTTTAGGGAAACAGTTACTATATGGCATCTTTTATTTCAAATAGATGGTACAGACACCCCCTTTCAGTATTTGGAGAGGACTGTTCTATTTTTCCCTTTCTTGCAGGTGGAACTCCCATTAAAATTAAGATAAAAAAAAGTCATGCTCTTCTCTTCTCTTCACTGGGAATAATAGGCTACTTCAATTAAGTGTGCTTTGCATTTGTCATTCTGGTCTGGAGTTGCAACCACTTTTTTCTCTTGAGGGAAAGGTGAATCAGGTGCAAAGTTAATTCACATTGCTTTGAAGCATCCTGATCTTTCCCCATTTTCTTCATGCACATGCTTATTCTTATTCATAGTATTAGTATTATTAACTCTTTCTTAGCTGTTCCTGTTAAAAAAAGATGGTAAACAAATGTTTATTTTTCCTCTCATTTTACTCAGTCACAGACTTTCCTTGGATTATACCATTTTCCCACTGTACTTGTTACATTGTGTAGGCAGTATCTTTCCAACATAAAGATAAACGGAATGTGATCTCCTCAGAGCCTCTAGCCCTTATGCCTTTCATTCAGTGTCAGTAGTGAATTGTATGAGGCACTCCCCTCCCCTCCCGTAAGCTTTGCATGTACTGCTTGTTCAGAGTTCCCAGGCTGAAGGCCAGAAAACAAATTGCACAACATAATTATGGCACCTAAATTTTTTTTTATTCATTATTTTTATCCTCATACTGCTTAACATGGAAAGTTACTTCCATGTGCAAACCTTTACAGTATTATTAAATTAAACTCCATCTAAGACGTCCTTTAACATTAAATAAGCTTACTGCAGTGCATATTGAAACTGACATGGATTGGCATGTTTGTGTGTGAGCGTGAGCTCAGCAAGAGGAAGCCTTTCAAAATGGAGAGAAATACTGTCGAATGAACAGGGAGCAAGAAGTTCATTCATGTGAATTCTTATATAATCTGTATTTGATACTCCTCTATCTGCCCCAACAGGCTGAATAAGAACAACTTAAAGATTATCTTTCAGGGAATATTTAACACCATAATGTTATTCTACCTCAGAATATCTGTGCAGCTCACTTAGCTTTTGTCTCAGGTAGATCGTGCAACATCAAACCAATGCAAGCTTTCTCCTTTTGTCTAGCTAATAATAGGAACACATGCTTGAACTAGTTCTGAAACTGGGGATTGATGTATATATTCATTTAAAAGGATTCACTATGAACGGATCACAATAAGATAATTAAGGAATCTTATGAACTTAAAGGCTCTGATCATACACCATTTCATCTTTTAAAAAATCTGTTATGAATTAAATATTTTGTCTTCAAATACATTTGAATATTCAGTTAGTTTTGCAGTAATGTGGTTTCCAAGACTTTCACAATGTATTTACATCTTCTGCACGTTATTGTTAATGGTATGTTAAAAGTGCTAGATACCTCACAAAAACATTTTGTATTGCTATTTTTGGAAAGGCTGAAGATTTGGCTTGTGTCTCAGCCAAAAGAAGGGAAGTATGAAGAAGGTCATTGAAAGTGCTAGCTCTCTTTCTGAATTAATTGGTAGCTGCCACTTGCTGGTTTGCATTGAAAGCACTGTACTTGAAAATAAATAATTTCCGGGTCTTCAATGAAGCATTAAGTCCAGAAATTTGTAATTCCTTTTTTTTTCTTTTCTTTTGATAACAGAATTCAATGTAAGTTGCAGATATGGCGGAGTTTTTCATGTTGAGAAAAACGGTCGCTACAGTCTCACACGATCTGAAGCAGTCGAACTCTGCAGAGCTCTCAATAGTACCTTGTCAACACTAGAGCAGTTGAAGAAAGCTCATGAACTTGGATTTGAAACTTGCAGGTAAAGAAATTCTTGAGATGATAATATATCATGACAAGTCCATCCATCCACCCATGCTATTGTGTGATAATATCATGTTGACTTCATATAGCTGTTAATTAGACAGCAGTATCAGTCCTCGAATTATATTCTGTGATGAACAAAACATCTTTGTGTATGTGTGTGTTTCCTCTGGGTCCAGTAATAAATAAGTCCTTGACTACATATACTTTTTACTAATTATCTTTAAAAAAATCATAACCTCTTACAGAGAAAATCTAAAGATAATAAAAGATTGACAGTATGATAAACTAATTAGGAAGATGTTCAGATCATACTGTATCACTGACTAATTAGTAAGATATGTATCTGAAAAGTATTTATGATTTTTAATGACCTGATGTAAGGCCAAAGACTGAAGATGGTATGTACAGTACAGGGACTTCTGTCTTGTCAAGAAATGGTAAAAAGCAGCAAATGGTACTGTGGGGGATGAACTCCTGACATTCTAGTGGAAAAATGGCCACAGTATTAGTGCATTCTTATAATGTGTGAATGGAGAAGTTTCAGAAGACAGCCATAAAAATGATTAAAAACCCCAAAACCGTGCTGTCAAGTGACACCAATTAATTAGCCTCTGTAATTAATGATGTATAGGACAACAAATGCAGGTAATACAGACTCTTCAGTTTAGCAAAAAATAACTAGACCAAGAGACTGGAAGTTACTCACAGAAAATTTTGGATTAAAAAAATTAAGTGAGTACTAATACAACCAAATATGTAAGGATAATAATTATTGGCTGAAACGACTTACAAGGGTTGTAGTACATTCTTTGTCACACCAAAATTTCATCAAGATGAAATATCTTCCCCAAGAATGCCTTCTGTTCAAACAGTAATCAAGTCAGGACAGTCTTATGGTCTGTAAATATGTCAGAGTAGATGATCATGTCATCTTGCTTTACAAAATACATAATACACTTACTATGCAAGTCATCCTAAATATTCATATGCACAAAAAAGATTGAACTTAGGAGCTGTAAATTTGAAGTTTGTTTTGTTTTGTTTTGTTTTAAAATCAAATAACATCAATTCATGTTGGTAAACCATTATGAAGTTGAAATAAATTTCAGTAGATTTTCAACTTTAATGAAATCTCAAATAAACAGCAAATATGGAGAAATGGAATTTATCTTCTAACTGACTGGACTAGAAAAGTTCAGTGGACATTTCTCCAAAATTTTAAGACTTTCATTCTGGTACCGTTAGAAATAGTACTAGCATCAATAATGCTTGCAACTGTTTCCTGTGAATGATTTCATTTCAGTTTAGTCAGTGGTGCTTTACTTTTTTAACACCTAATGCGTGAATGTTCTTTCCCACTGCCTTACAAGTCCATGAGAACTGAATAAAGCTCCTTTCAAATTAGTAGTATTTGTACAAAGTAATTTGTAACCATGGAAAGACACATGTGCAGTGCCTTGAAAACACTCTTATACATATAAATGTCATGCACTGCCGTTGATGACAGCATATGGCATGTTCATTTTCACAAGCATTATGCCCTGGATGGTGGTGAAAAGAGGTGGGTAATAGTGGCAGGGAACAATGGACAGAAAATTCTTAGACGATTCTTCTGTGACAAGTGGGAATGTCATTTAAAATTGTACCACATAAAGACTAGACACAATTCTTTACTCTGAGGGGAAAGTCCTGCATAACATAGTAGGCATGTTCTTTCTCTAATGTTAGCATATGAACATACTTAGCATTCTGAGTTGTCCAGCACTACACAATATGGAGAGAATAAGGATCAATTCCTAACTAAAAGCCTAGGGGTAGACATTTCTAGTTCTAGCAATTATGAGTATTCTGCAATGTGGAAAGTATTTTCTGAAGTTAAAATATAAAGATAATTGAAAGAAGGATTAGAGGGAAATGGTTTTTGCAGTGGGGAGCTGTAGTTTTTCATTAATGTTACAATTCTCCCTAATTCACAGTGTAGCAGAGGACAGGTTTGGACATGTAAAGCATGTAGATAGGATTTGTTCCTCCTTTGCTTCTGGCCAGCCGTCCTACCCTCGTACTTTCATTTGTTGATCCTGTGCTAGAAGCCCTTGTCAGTAAGGCTAGGTTCTTATCAAGCTTTAGTAGGAGAGAAAAAATATACTGCATATAGTCATCAAAATACATGTGGAATGGTGAGTGAATAAGATGAATCAACAGACCATAACACAAGTAAGTGATTAATGGATTATAAAGTGTCAACATCGTAGGCTCAGTTGGAAGTGTGAGTAAAGCAGTTTATAATTCCACCTACAAGAGAGTTTCAGAATTGCAAGTTTTCAGAATTGCAAGTATCTGCACATTAGACATGTAAACGGAATGGGGCTCACAGATAAAAAACTGCAAAGCTATGAAATTTACTCCTCCCTGATAAATTGTATCCCTCAAGAAGTAAAATAAAACCCACACCAAGCCCCCATTCTCATTACCACTCTATCACACCTCCCAGCTAAATACATTGGAGTTAATCAGGTGTTACAAGATTGCAAAATAGTAATATCACATTGTGCATTATGTAGCTCTGTTAACCACAGTCTTCACTGAAGTATGTGAGCTCTGTACACAACAGCCAAGTTGTTCAACTGAAAGATACAGTAAGAATTTGTAGATGAAAGAGTGTTGTATCTGAATATTTTACTAACCTGTCAGCTTTTTCACAGTGATGTGTCTTACAATCATTCCCTATAGTACCATTTGCTCAGGTACTATAAACTGAGCCCCCAACATTTCTGTGTGAAATATCCCTGAGCAGTATGTTATGCTCAAAGCAATGAAAATGTGACTTGTGAAGAAAAAAGAAGCCAGTCTTTAGTGTCATGTAATACAACCTCACACTGAATAAAAAGTGCACTTGCCTCCCAGTCTCTCACTTCCACTGCCTTGCTCTGGAACTGATTGTCCTAGCTAATATGGTGCTCCCTTAATTCAAATGAGTTTAGCTCTAGAAATTACATGCAAAATGGTGTTGAGTGGCTGGAGACTGATGTAGCTACATGTGAGAAAGGAACACCCTTCATATACAAAAAGTATGCATAAATGCATGCACTTCTAAAAAATAATGCAAGATGAAAATAATGGCTTCTTTGTAGCTTCTTCATGTTTGAGATACCTAGACCATTTATGCCATCTGCTATAATATGTAATATGGTGTATTTTCCTCTGTTCTTCACAGGTATGGTTTTGTAGTGGGAAATATTGTTATCCCACGAATCAATCCCTATCATCTTTGTGCAGCAAATCATACTGGTATTTACAAACTTTCAGCAAACACAACTGGTCGGTATGATGCATACTGTTACAATGCGACAGGTATGTATAGGCTTTTATGATGTATTTTAGATATAGATTAACTAACAATAACATACATAATCTCCTATTTAAGGTACTGGAATGAGGGTTTCTATATTAAATATCACCTAGTTTTCACCTGAGAAGAAATACATTTTGTCAGCCTCTAGAAGTGTATCTATAATGCCAGCAATGAATTTGACCCATTTTGTCATTAGTGTGTTTTGAACTGAACCAATTTCTGCCCTTGGGACAAACTTAGTAGCTTCAGAACGGTTCATTATAACATCTTAGTGCAGTGAACCACTGCAGCAGTGAATCTAAAAGGCGTAACTGTTGTAGGCAATGGCACTCAGCTCTTCTGTTCATGCACACACGAGCTTCTATAGCAAACAACAGTTATTTGTGTTAAGGGATGCTAGCAGTGTCTGCCACCTGCAGCAGCTCCAAGGCCTGGAGTGGCCATGCCAGGCCCATGGACAGGGCTTCTGCTCTCCTGTTTGCAGGTTCATCCAGTATTTTCTTTCAGGCAAATCTCCATTCAGACATTAGGCATAGCGATTTGAGTCAGCAGCAGACCAGTTTCTTCTAAGGTTTTGAACTTTTTAATAGTTGAAAATATTTTAATAAATTATTAGGAAAATGTAGATAATCTTGTGACAGATGCTGAACACAGTATTTGAAGATAAAATCTGAATTAACTTCCAGTGTCTTGAATTTCAGTAGATTATTACATTCACAGTGGAAACAGACAGATCTTACAGAAAGCTGTAGGCAAAATTCATTGATTATTTGAATGGCAGTGACATTTTTTTATTTTGTTCTTGGTGGTAATATCATTAAAAACCATCTTTGCATTGGCATAGTATCAGGCAAGTTGCCATCCTCTGTCACCCATGGGTGACTCTTCTGCTACAGCGATGTCCATCCCCACCAGAGCTTTATAACTCCTCCCAAGTCTTATTCCCTTCTGGCACTATGAGCAGGTGGCTCACACACTGGACATGAGCATGGCACTGCAGCCTGCAAGCAGTGCTCACCAGACCAAGGCACACTCTGCCTGTGCAGAGCCCTCCATGGAGAGGACAGGGTCCCTCTGGCTAAAAAGGATTAGAGCTGCCACTGCTGCCATGACAGTGGGGCTTGTCTGCATTGAAACTGGGTCATAAAGCTATTTTCACTGATGTTGATTGCAACCATTTCCTGGAATGGTTATGGAAATGGAGAATCTCATTGTTAGCTGACAGAATAACCTTGAAGTGCCCTACCTGGGAAGGAGCAAAAAGGGAACATAGGCAGATCAGTGAATAATGTTTGATTTGGAAATTTGTTTTCAGTTGTCTACATCTGAAGCTGATGTTTTGTGATTATGTATAATTAATATGGGTATACACATGACTTTTTTCTCAATTTTCTCAAATTAATATTTTCTATTTTCTTCTTTTACAGAAACAAGGAACAAAACATGTGAGCCAATTGAAAGACTAAATACTTCTTTCCTCAACAATCAGGGTGAAATAGGTACAGTATTGATTAGAAAGACCTGCCACTTGTTTCATTTTTAGGATCTGGTTACCTTTTTTTACATAAACATTTGCTAATATTAAAAATCAAGCCAAACATAAGAAAAAGAAGTCTAGAGATGTTCAACACCAATAAAGCAATTAGTCACTTGTGTTCCTCTAAATCCTGTAGAGCTTGGTTTGTCTCAAGGTGCTACCAAACATTTTTTATATAGGTATTTGACATTTTTTAGCACCTCAGAACTGGTAATGTTTCTCTGACATATAGGAGTGCTTAAGACAGCAACCTTTCTACATCTCATTTGAGCTGCTGGTTAGAAAAGCAGCTGAAAGTGGAAGAAAAATCTCATAATAAATTATTTGTCCCGGTTCTAAAATTCTGATTGACTTTAAAGAGGCCAAGATTTTATGTTCAAAACCAAACTGTCTCATCAAAATATCAAAATATTTGATGGAGAATAGGCCCTATATGTTTGACAAATTGTTGTGGTTTAACCCAGCAGGCAGCTAAACACCACACAGCCTTTCGCTCACTCTCCCCCTCCCCAGTGGGATGGGGGAGAGAATTGAAAAAAAAAAAAGGTAAAATTCAGCTGTTGAGATAAAGACAGTTTAATAGGACAGAAAAGGAAGGGATAATAATAATAATATACAAAGCAAGTGATGCACAATGCAATTGCACACCACCCGCTGACCAATACCCAGCCAGTCCCCAGGCAGCAGTCGCTGCCCCCTTGGCCAACTCCTCCCAGTTTATATACTGAGCATGACGTCATATGGTATGGAATAGCCCTTTGGTCAGTTTGGATCAACTGTTCTAGCTGTGCCTGCTCCCAGTGTCTTGTGCACCTGGCAGAGCATGGGAAGCTGAAAAGTCCTTGACTAGCATAAGCAGTACTTAGCAACAATTAAAACATCAGTGTGTTATCAATGTTATTCTCATCCTAAATCCAAAACACAGCACTATGCCTGCTACAAGGAAGAAAATTAACTCCATCCCAGCTGAAATCAGGACACAAATATATACATCAGCGTATGTGCATTAGGCATAGTTTAGTGATGTATGATCTAGACAGATTAGATAGGATAGCAAAAATGGGTGAACTAATATTAATCCACAACTGTTTCTCTATTTTTTTTGTTATAGGACTTAAACTGTTTAGCATTACTGAAATATAGCTACGTAGCTCCTTGATACTATCAGCTGCTTAATTTCCTCTTTCCAACAGTCATTGACAATGCAGATGGCTCACGTTATAATGCAGATGGCACGCGTCATAGCGAAGAGTCCCCAACCTCAGGCGTGGATGATGAAAATGTAGGTAGTGGATCAACACATGACACAACTCCCATGGACATCTCCGTCAGGAGATCCAGCCCCTCATATTACGGAAGTGCTACTCCAGTCTCACAGCTGCCAGATCATTCTTCTGGAGGGGGTGAAAAAGAAATTCCTAGAAAAGATTCTGGTAAGGACAGTAGGTTGCCACTGTACCCCCTTTAAAATAACTGAGTGAAGGATTACATTGTTAGGGATATCATGGGGGAATGAGAAGCACTGTTTCTAATTTTTGTCCTAGAGAAGTAAAACCAGAATGCATGTCTTTGAAAGAAAACAGAAGCATTCTGAATTTCCAAGGATTTTTATGATTGCACAGGAGTACAAAGCAGCCACACATCAGCATAATTTCCCACATAAACCTTCCCAGGGTGTTGAAAATAGATGGTTCTAATAATTTGTGCTTGTTCTTATTAAAATATTTATTTCATTAAAGGCTCAAAAACATACCTAGCCATGAACACAGAGACATATGGGTATATATCCATAAGGATAACATTCTTATCTGTTCTCTAAAAGGATGAACTGACATTAAGTAATAAGAACAAGGAGGAGTTTACAGTACAAGTGATTCCTCTTCGTACCAATACGGGGCGGGAGGTGGGGGGGTGTTTAGGACATCTTACTACAGCATATTACAGAATGCACAGAGATATAAAAATGTCAAATTAAAATGTTATTAATATCTTCTTCCTTTAGGTGGTAAAGCCAAATTCTGTTCTCATGAAGCCCTACCAAATACAAATGCCATACTCTTTTCTAGGGCATTTTGTAGGGTGGCAAATTAGTGAATTAGAGTGCCTTGCCTGTATCTTGCTTTCTTCTGAAAGTGACAAGTATTTTATTTCATCTTTTATGTTGCTGTGTGGCTGAAATTATCAGAGGTCTGAAAGACTAGCTCCCATTGAACCTAAGGGATACAAACATAATTCATCTTCTAAGTACAGTACTGTGTGGCCTTTGACTACAGGCTTTTTATCAAATCACCAATAACTTACCAGTGAAGGATGCCAGTAGTTTGCATCATTATCCTCAATAAATACTGAAATGTAAAAAAAAAAAAAGCAGAAGCATTAGGATTATAAAATGACTTTTCACTGGTGGTATACTCATGATATGTTATGCTTGTTTTTCCATGTAGTTAGCATCATGAAACATAAATCCTAACATTCTCTTCCTAAGGAACTACGATCAGAGCCATTCCCCAATGTGTATGCCATGTATTTCAATTACTTGCTGTGACAACTCTTATCAACTCTGCTTACATGCAGAGTTTAGATTTTTGGACTAAATCTCAGAATATACCTCAGTAAAGAGGGGAATACAAATAACTTCACTCATTCCTCTAGAATCCCTGTCCAGATGGTATTTAGGTACAATTGGAGCTTGAATCACATGAACAGATCATTGCCAGAATGTCCATTATCACTGTAATACGTACTTCTCTTGAAATAATCTGTTTTGGTGATATCCTTACTATGTTAGTAAAGTAAGGCTATTTGGGGCTGAATTATATGAAGAACCTAGTCTGTATCTTTCTTCTCTCTTGGACCAATAAATGAAGGAATGAAGAATAATTGAAGTAGTTGTGAGTACTGGGTTGCAACTCAGTTAATGAAATACTAATGATTCATCCACCACCATACAGATGATGAAGTTTCTCCTGTATCACCTGACATCTCTTTAGTGACGGCAGCTGATGATTCCCCTGAAAAAGATGGAGGATGGTATCCTGCGAGTACTAGTAAGGTTTATGTATTATAATAACTACATCAAATATAGATTGCATTAAAACTGCTTTCTTCTTCCAGCAGGGCATTCTGGTAAGTGGTGAAGTATACATCATCTCCAATTTTGGAAAGACATTGAAAGACAGTACTTTGCAGACTGGTTAAGTCAGAAATAAATTTCCCTGCCTGGGACAAGGGGAGCAAAAACATTTGCTGTATGCTTACTTCAATGTTTATATATGAGTTCAGAAAGATTGTTGTTTTCTGTTTCCCACTGATTTTTATCACACCTGTTTACTCTATGAGGCGCCACAAATTAGTGCAACCAATTATCACTTGAAGTCCATTTATTTCTGAGGTAGAAAAGGACATTTTTGTCACTCTGTGATGAAAGTGTCTGTGATTCTAATATTAATATTTATGGTTGTGAATGTGGGTAATCCACATCAAAAAACCATGGCCTTGCTCACCAAAGCAGTGCTTTAAGTGGCAGTTCCAATTGCCAAGCCACTTGTGCACTACAAAAACTAATTTTGTCCTTGTTGGCAGTATGCATGAGAAAAAATTGGGGCCTGTCATGGCTCCACAGGCTTTGAGGGCTCAAAAGAACAGTAGAGATTTTCTCTGCTTTGTCCTTAAATAGCTGTACTGAGTGGGAAAAAATGCTTGTGATATTTTTATCAAATATGTAGTGCACAGCAGCTACAGTGAATATAAATCTTTTAAAGTCATCTTACATGTTTTAAAGTGGGACTGTACATATATTCACTCTAGTTCTTAAGTTTAGAGTGATAAAGATCTTTGCCCCAGAAAATAAAGTGAACTAAAAGGGAGCACATGTTAATTATACAGAGGAGATCTACAGAGACATGTTGTAGTAAAGACTGAACTGATAGAAATGAAAGTTTCTTCCTGCTGTCTCTTTTTTTCCCACCCTGGAAGCCTGTGATAGTGAGGAATTTGCTTAATTGTTTGTTGGTTGCTGATAGATGGTCAAATAGTCTATGTGACTTGGGGGATGGTGCCCTTGTTACTGTATTTAGAAATCACAGGACAGAGTAAGAATGGTTGTATGTCTTACACAGCTAGCAAAAACTTTACTGAAAGACAGAAATAATTCAACCAAGCATCTTGTCTCAGAGGATGTGAAGGTTAGTAACACCTTATAAATATGTAGGTGGAAAAAAGAAATATCAGGTTGATTTTCCCCAAACCTTGAAAGAAAGTAGAGAATTTTCTGGTGCTTGTTTCAAGTGAAAGGTTTTGCTACAGAGTATTGCCTTGTGGGCAGGGAGAATCCCACCTGCTAACAGTGGGGAGTTTGTCTGGTTGACTCTGGTGGTGATTTTTCCTTCGTATTTATTTGCTTTTGTATGCATGTGTGACTTAGTGCTTCCTTGTACAGATGTTTCTGTACCCATTGCAAAAACCTGTGCATTGCTCCTAGGCAGGAAAGCTTTAGGTTTTCCTTTTACTACTTGATTATCAAATGTATTGATCCTAAATAAGTATGTCCCTTCCTGTTGCTAACAGTTCTCTCTCGTGGGCATGACTATTTTACAGAGGGAAAATTAGAGTTATTTAAGATTTTAAAAGATCAAAATAACTATAGAGCTATGTAATAAAAGATGTCGATACTGATATATTTGTATCATAGAAGTGATAGCATTGGCATGAATGCTTATTGGTTTAGGGTTGATAGTTTGATTCTCTGAAAAAAAAAGATCATGAAGATACTGCACCTGGGCTCTTCTGATAGTTTTAACTATTACTCAGTAACATCACTTTAAAGGCAAACAGACTCATTGCATTTAATTTTATTGCATTACAAAAGAATGAGTAATTTAGCACTCCTTTCAGAAGTTAAGTATAAACCATGCATCTCCATGAGAAGTCATCAAATATTCAGTAGCATAGGAGAAAGCTACATGGAGAACAAACAAAAAAGAAAATAAAGCCATGCCCCAGTGTCTGCTATATACATTGTGCAACAGTGCAGGCTCATTGGAATATTCCAGCCACAATTTAATTTCCCAGAGAAAAATCCCACAGACAGGATAGTAGAAAATTAAGAAATAACTAAAGAAAATTATTCAGCATATATCTTCAAATAGATGGCTGAAAATATATCTATCTAATTCTATAGTGTGGATTTTCCTTTGGTTTGGTTTGGAGCATTCCCTGAAAAAAATCTCATCACTGAAAAAAGTCTTACATCCATACTTTGGCTGATCTGACAGGAAAGCATCTGCATTGGTATATTGTATGTGGAAGGAAGCCATGAATACATATTCAACGCTTAAGAAAATGAGCTCCTAAGGCTTGCTGTAGAAAGCAGGTAGAGGTGAGAATTTTGCTGTGATTACAGCAAGTCAGATGGCAATTATTTAAATATTCATTTATTTTCTTGTTAACAGTTTTTGTGGCATTATCATTTTGTTCACAATTCTATCCCAAAGCTCCAAATCTGAGACCACCTGGGTTTTGATGGTCTGTCACTCAGAGATCAGATTTTAAATGTCCAGGTTTCCCATTTTCTGACATCAGTGTCGGAGTAGTACTAGTAGTACTAACTTTAGGGAGCAGGTAGTGACTGTGAGAAGAGACAATATTTATTCAGTCAAGGACAGCTTTTTAGAATGGCAAAATCTGTTCGGTTTTGCTGCCAAAATAGCTACACCTTGAAAAATTGCAGTTCCAAGTTTAAGTCCATACCCTTTGTACACTTCGCAGTTAACAGATAAACAAAACAGCTACTGCAGGCTGAACAACATTGGTTTATCCTGTCTTTATCCTGTCTTTATTCCTAGGTCTTGTATTTTCCAATGCTTTCATATATTGCATAAAAATTGATCAAAAATAGTGTCTACGATGTTAGTCTTCAAGGTATTTTTCTAAATTAAGTATTTATAGATTTTTTTCTGAATGAAAAAGAGTACATGATATCTTTTTTTCATCTTCAAGATATAGAAGTAATATGGTCTAAATGCTGATAAAAATACTGCTTGTGAGGAATGGCCAGAATAAAAATATTTCAAGAGAAACATTTTGAAGTATATTTTGCTTTCTTTTGGTGAATATATATATGACTTGAACTGCAGCTCTTCTTGCAAACTCTGCTTCTCAGTTTATTGATGAATACCTTTCTTTGCACAGAGAAAGGTTAAACTATCAGCTGGCTTGCTTGAGGGATTTCAATTTCTATGGTGTGCATGCCTCTATTAGCTTTGAATGCTTTTTGTCAAAATATTGGAGCGTATTTGACATAGATACATATTTTGATCTGTCACACCTAAAGATGCTATGCAGAATTAATTGACTTTACTGGACTTTCAGAGCTGGTAACACAATTTTATACTTTAGTATAATGTTTCAAACTTCACTTACACTAAAAGCATTGGATTTTTTTGCTGTTGGAGGAATGTAATGATACCACAGGTTCATACATTTGCCCTGCAACTCACATCCATCTCAGTGGCATAAGCATACTCAGGGTGCCGGTGCTGGTGGACTTGACTTGCTGGAGGAAGAGTGCTTCTCAAGAAATAATAAGATCTTGGTTGAATGAACCATGTCCTAACAGCTCCAGGGCCTCATCATGACAACCTGGAGAAAGCCACCACCCAAGCTCAGTGGAATGTGTTCTCAAACCACTGGTGGTGGTCAAATCCTGGAGAGAAGACGCAACAACACATGCAAGCAACAAAGGGTAAAGAATGTCAAGCTAAAAGGGTGCTTTCATTAGGGGCTGAATAACCAGAGCACCAGGGCAGCAAGCTTCAGAAGCATTAAATGGAGGGGGATTGAATGTGTAGTATGTGACACATTCTACACATTCACACATGTGAATGTCACTGCTTTTCGTTACCATGTGTTTGAAGCAGAAAAAGCAAAGTAGTGGGCTATCTCTCACTGGCTGTACATTTGGTAGCGATAGAACAGTTGTCCACATTGTTCATGTACTTGAGAGGTATTATGCATGTCCAAAAGGGATGAGTATGTAAGTACTTTTATGAAGGATATACTTGGATTTTTCTTTTTTCTGGTTCAGAGGCAATTTAGAAGTAGACTATTCCAATGAGAAGGACTTGTGGGAGAAAGGAAGAAAATGTTTTCAAGCCAGTACGCTATGCTCACTCTGCTAGAAGAGACAGAGTATGGTTAGGGCTGTGAGCATGCACAGCACACTGAAATGTAGCTAAGAGCCACATTGGGGCATCTTCAGCAGGGCCATGGCAGAGTGATGAATCCCTTGGGCGTGGAAGAACCGTGAGGGGATATGGACCATGGGAAGCACGGTTCTGTACACTCTCATCTGTGATTGTAAGGCTGCATGTAGGGGAGACAGGAAAGCACAACTGCTGTCAGCAGAAGACCTTGTGGGTTAGGGCTTCATGGCAGATTTAACATCATCACAGCAGATGTGACCTCAAGTGGCAATGGTTCAGATGACGAAGACTCTTCAGAGAAGATGATTCACCCAACAGTGCTTTGAGGCTGGGACAGGAGTATGGCCAAGGACCAGTATGCTCCAAGTACTAGTAAGGAACTTCCTTTCTCTTTGGATGGTTTCTTTCTTCTTTTTCCTGTCCTACCCGACGTTCCTCCTCCTTTGCCACACATATATTCTGTGAAAATTGGATGCTCTTCTCATCAACTGTTCCTTCAGAAATGTCTCTTTTGCAATTGGAAAAATCATGTGAGGTCCATATTGACAGAATTAATATTTCTTCTACCACTGCTTAAAATTCACTTCTCCATGCCTATTTGAATGCATGCACTCAGTCACGATTTTCCAAGGAAAAAAAAAAAAATCTTTTTTCCTATGTTTTTCTTTTTTGGGAAAACTGTTAAAATAATTCCAGTTCATGTTATTTAAAATCTACATCCATACAACAGTAGAATTCTTGTCTGTGGAAGAAGATGCTCAGCCACAATTTAGGGAGGCCAGACCCCAAGTGCCCTTTTCATGGGCAAGTGTCAGCAAAACAGTCTCATATTTGCTACCTTCCACTCATTTGCTATGCACTCTTCTAGCATCATCTCATTTGTTTTTTCACCTCAGATGTGTAGGCATGATGCAATCCCGCAACTCGATATTTTAATCCATAGCTTTATTTTCCTGATATGAATAGTCCCACAGTGATCATCCGATAGCTCTTTTTTAACTAAAAAAGCCATCCA